TATATATATATATATATATATATAATTGTATGTTGAATTTGAAATAAAATATCATTAAAAGAAACGGTTAAAGAAAAAAGTTGGACTAGAACTAGAGAAAATAAAAGAAACGACAAGAAAGAAAAAAAAGTTTGTTTACCTCGCGCTGCAGATCGGTTAAAGTGCGTTTACGCGATGGAGGACGTGAAAGTCCAGGATGAAAACGCGTAGGTACGGGTGTTACTTCGAGGCTACTTAGACAACCAGGTGGTGGCCTGTAAACTCTCCAAAATGCTCGCTCTTGAGAATCGCTTACTATTTTATCCCCTTTTTTTCGCTCCTTCGATAAGCGTACCTGAACCCACAAAATTGACAACATTTCAAGGAGTCACACGTTCAAATATGTAACGTTTCAATTACTCATAAAAGGAAAATTACTCCTAACTCCTAGACGACCATTTTTCTTTTTCTATGCACGTATACATATTCTGTAGCAAATTCTTTCTAAATACATATTTTTATTTTTACCTTATTTTTGCATTACATCCGAACATACAGCGATCCATACCAATATTTTTTTTTAATCGATCATTCGATCACGATACCATCGATCACGATATATACAATAGATGAGAGGGAAGAGGGAGTGATCTTTGCAATTTTATCTTACAGGAGATGACAATTCCACGTTTCGTACGTGATTATGAGATTGATTAAATTCACGCGTCGACGAATGGATAAATTTTGAAATTTTTCGAAAAAAAGAAAAGTCGAAATATTTTCTTCGATTCTTCGAAAATAATTATTTTGCCGTTGCAAATATGCTTCGATGCGATTTCGATCATCTAGGAATTAATGGATCGCTATGAAACGCGTTATATTCTCTCAAAACTGATCGATCATTCACCTGTTCTTCAGCTTGAAGTTGTATCATATCCCACTTGTTCTGCAAGTTCCTACGTAGACTGTTTAAAGCTTCCTATGAGAATAAATCAAATATTTGCCGAAGCTATATAAAATACGTTCGATCGATTATCCATTAGAGTAAAATCATGAAAATTTACATACAATTTCGTAATCTTCAAGAGCATGTCGTTGCTTGTTTCTTAAAGTTCTCTTAGCCAGATAAATAGCATATTCCATGTTATCAGGGATTTTATGTTGCCATGGCCAATAACATGGTGTCTGTTCGTTAAATAAAAAATATGATATATTAATAATTTGGAAAATAATTATATATGAAACGTACTTCAACATTGTTCAACACCTAAGATAGATATACTATTTATAACGTTATATATTTTTTAACCTTAACCAAGATATTTCGTTAATACTGATTAATTAATAATCGATAACGTTCGACGATTTGAAATTCGAGCATTGTACGATTGTACGTAGTAACGGACAGTTGGGCTCGTTACGCATCGTTGACCAGTGACCGGTGGCAATAAAGCGATGAAAAAACCGAGAGAAAAACGTCGACGATCGAAATTCGACCGATAATTTTAATCGCGGAGACCAACGAATACATCGAGGAGATTATCGTAATTAAGGAATAAAAAAAGGAAAGAAAATGTTCATCTTGAAATTTTCGAGACGTCAATTTTCAAAATAAATAAAAACAAAAAAAAAAAACTCGTTTTATCGATATCCTAGTGTCTGCGTAAAATTCACATATATTTTATACGAATATACGTGCATTCGATTCGAAACATTCGTTCCTCGCGTTGCTATAAACTTTATCTGATCTGCTTACAACCGACTCACATGTTCATGATGCGTAACGGATCTTAACGTTTATTTTTCTTAATCCGATTACGAAAATAATTATCCAATAGATAAGTGGATAAAATGGATGGATGGATGGGTGCATGGATGGATGGATAGGTGGATGGATGGATGGTTGGATGGATGGATGATAGATAAATAAATAGATAGATCGACAGATAGATAGATAGATAGATAGATGATAGATAGGTAGATAAGTAGGTAGATAGGTAGATAAATAGATAGATAGATAGAAATTGAAACAATAATCGTTTAAGCAAACGAAATGTGGTATTTCGCGATGGTTCAAGATTATCTATTCGAACGCTACAATCCAATTTTCGGAATATACGGTTTGTTAACGCGTGCTACGAAACGCGATAAAATATCACGTAAGTTCTTACCGATATTTAAATTAATTTTTCGATTAAAAAAACGGTAAAAATAATATTTATAATATTTCGCT